CATGTGGTTAGCCAAACCAGCTGGGAAGAGGCCATCAACCTTGTTTTCTTGCTGTGTTTTTTTCGCCATCGTTTCCCTATGCTGGGGCATACAGGAAGGTGTCATGACGGTCATACCTTTACGGCATAAGCAATATTGCCTTCCTAATCTTGTTAGCAGCTATTTCCTCCTACCATTCTGCTTATTGCTTTTTTTTTCTTCATCTCCGCCACGGCGTTTCTGTACTCCAGCGTGAGCGTATGCTACTGTGGGCCCAGGCTTACAGACAGTCCGTGCCCTAAATCACCCTTCCTTGTTCAAGTGGTCTGGACCATATGAGACTGTTCCACTTTGGCGACATCATTGTAAATTAGGGAGGCGCTGCGCCCCCATAAGTGGCAGTTCTGACGCCTCCCTAGTTGTCCCGCGCACCGAAACTCAAGGGCCAATTCATGTCACGAGTTCTATTTTGACACTTTTTTAGAGGGTGTTAACACTGGGTGACGTGAAAAAGCGACTAGTGAACAAGAGACAGCAGGAATTCGCTTCGCAGGCATAAAAAGGGCAAGTACAGTGGGGCTGCCAGGAGACCCTTACTCAGGGTGTTCTCTATGATTTTTTTGTTCTTTGCTGCTCTGCAGAGTCATTCAGCGGTTTGAGTTTTGTAATTGAACGCCAGTATTCCCAGTTTACACTCGCATGATATGCCTTTGATCGCTGTCAGACCACCTCGTGGAATAGCTGGGAATGTAGAGTGGGTGTCGACCACATGTCAGTGGCAAGAGGGTGTCATGCTAGTCAGAGTGGCAGAGACTAATACCAGTTTTGGTAGCCATCGGTTTCTCCCATCATTTGTCTTATCGTGCCCGGTGATATGAAGAGAGGCGCCGTGCAGACGGGCAGACAAACATACAGACCGACAGATCGACAGTCCGACAGGTCGACACACCAATTTAGTGCTTTTTATGACAGTAATAATAGGCGGCGAAAGGGCGAAAGGTGATGAATTTTCTGCGGAACTTATCATCTTATCATTCATCTCATACTTCTTAGTGGTTTCTTTTTGCACGGCAGTTTGTTCGAAATGACGGTTTCTCTGCTAACTTTACGCGATAACCAATTGGTTCGCTGGAAACATTTTGGTAGAATCGACCTCAACCAATCCTGACGGGTTCTAGTGACGACTGTTTTTTTTGTATATTTTGATATTTTTGTACATTTTGACGTGCGTGCGAACAAGTGCTGGCAATTGTGAGGGTTTTCAATAAAGTGAAACGTGGTCTCTGGTATCCAAATAGGGTGTGATTACTGAGTCTAGGTTCGTAATTTTTGGAGGTGGAAAACTTAGTCCGGGAGAATCCGAGCTCCTGGACGCGTACCCACTGGATTCGCCGCTTTGCCAGATTGATACGTATCCTCTTTTTTGCTGTGAATTCTTCGGAATCGCGTATTCTTTCAAATCGTGGATGTTCCGACGGAAATGTGAACGCGGTCCAGCGCTCTCGAGCTGCTGTCCTGCTTTCTTTTTTCTCGTAAAATGTTGTCATTTCTTGATAGTGTAAGTTCTCCTTCTATGTTTCAGAATCACCCAGCGAAAAGTACCGCATGAAGGACAAAGAGCAGACTTCGTTTTGCAGACCTAGTGAAACTGTTGGGTGTGTTATACAGATTTTTATGGACGATGAATGCAGTAGGTGTGTCGTGAATTCATTTGTCATCTTCCAGAGTTGATCTTGCCGATTCGACAGTGTCGTTTGCCACGTCATTTGCTGAAATAAGAGATGCAAAAGTGCAGGAGAAAATTGCATTTGTCCAGGCTATCGCACGAAGGCAGGATGTAATTTTTGGAGACGGCGCTTCAGTGAGTTGTTTTGCTGCTTTTCCCTTCCAAAAGTATTTACTTCTGTTCACATTTTTCTAATTTTACGTCGGAGGCTAAAATGGTTTTGTTTTAGTGTTCAATCAAAGCCAAGGAGGAAGCATGGAAGGAAGTGGCCAGAGAAATGGAAGAATTGGGTTTGAAGTCGTTTGCTGGTGAGTTTATCGATTGGAGCTTGAGGAACATTAGTTTTCGAAATCCGTTTTTGTTTAACACCGCCGTTCTGCGGGGTCTCCCAGCCTTTTTAATCACTTGTCACATGATAAACGGTACGTCCATCCATTTCCAACTTTTATGTGAGGTACATATATCTCATGTCGGAGAGAGTACTCTGATACCATTAGAATATGATAGAAGTGACAAAAAAATCGCTGCGGAATAATATATGACACACCATGTGTGTCACGCGGTCCTAAACATGTTAAAGATACACTACACGTTTACCTGGGGCGTGGACTATTTCCATCTATGTAGCTGGCAAGACCGCAACAGTAAGTGCGAGACAGTGAAGCCTGAACCTTACGATAGTTTGATTTTCATTATATCTTCAATTGCTGTTGGACACGCGCCATACGCCATGGCTAATCGTATATGAGGCAACTCGCATAAGTAGCGCGAGTGGCTATGGTTGGACAGATAGCAACCCATATGGGGTATTGCGTGGCCTGCCATACACCTAAGCATAGGCGCTTTTGCTATTTGTATGTGTTTTATCGCATACGAGTGGTCGTACGGCGTGTGGCGTGACTATGACATGCGCATCGAGTATCGAATAGCTGGCATTGCTCCAAACATTCGGAGCCGTTTGCACTCTACTGGTCTGCTCACCCCACCCTGAGGGGGGCCCGGGGGGGAGGAGGGTTCCCCATGCTTGTATACTCGTTTTTTATATGGCTGACCTCCCCTTCAACGCGCCGCTAATCCACAGCGGTGGAACACGTGGGGAAGTAACTCTCGATACGGGTCATATTTGCTCAGCGCTTCAGGGGAAATTTTGAGCTGTGTACCCCCTCTTTATTTCTAACGCTAGTTTTTCGAGAAAAAAACCAGGAATTTCAAGTGGATAGGAAAACATCAACTAAGGATGATGATAGATAGCATATGGGGAAGAGGAGGGGTCCCAGTGAAAAGAATTGGGGGGTCTTATTTTGCAGGAATTTTTGCAAGCAATAAGAGAAGTCCCGGTTTTTTTCATCTTTGTGGTATCGTAATCACATCAAGGAAACACAATTAAAGACGGGCCTCGCGCTCGAGCAGTACATGACCGTCCTTCCTTGTGCAAGTAGACCGCCCACTTGCTAGATGCCCTATGACGGAGGGCCGCTCAGTTGTTCCTTATTAGGACGGCGGGCATTAATCGGAATTGCCACAGGCTCGTGCCCATAAGTAATTCTGCTCTCCTTTATTACATTTTATTCATTAGGAGCACATACAGTCAACTGCAACCCATCTCGCAAGGTAAAACGCGTAAAAATCACGAGTGATGCAATTTTTTTGGTGCAAAAGCTCGACATACTAAAATATGCCCGCTATTATAACCCTTATATTCGTACGCCGAGTTTAGTTTTCGAAAGTTTCCTTTTGTTAAGAGTTTTGCGTCGGTGTTTTTGTTGTTTTTCGTATTCTTTTCTTTGCATTGGATGATATCTACTACTGGGAGATGCGAAAAAGCGATTTGTGAGCCAGGGGTTGCACAGAGACCGCAGGGCGGTGTGACTGTCAGGGAGCGATTTTGTTTATGGTGTTCTTGAGGACTCTTCTTGCTTTTTCTTCTTTGGGGAATTACTTATCAGCTACTGTTTCATATTGAACAGCAACTATCCATGACAATTTGTCGCGATAACTGCCTTTAAGGAAAGACGTGGTCACGCTTGCGAGATCATGATTGGCAGTATGTTCGACGTCATGCTTTAGCTCGCTGTGAGAGCAACCACAAACCGTCAGGGAAATTGGGGTAAGTTTAAAAAATTCTCGTCTCGGCGCTATTCCATACCACTTCTTTTGTTTTTCAGGGATTTGGATAGACTCGTTCTTACAATCATCGGGAACTTCCATAGTCGACTTTTCGCAGAGTTCTCTATTGAACATCCTTCCTATGATACGTCCTCCGATGATCTGGAAGTCAATAATTACGTATGTTTTCAGATCCGAAATGGATCCTGAGCAGTTTGAAACCGTTCATTTCAATTTTTATCAAAAAATTGCTATGTGGCAATGTCACATCAACACTTTTTAGAGTCCAGAAATGAAGCAAGAGAATGACTACTCGATGGAAACAAATGTATTGCCGAGCTGTTTCGACGCAGCTTCACGCTTTCAAGTTCCTGGACGTTCTTCTGACCAGTCATCATTGACTCGGTCCACGGATTGCAGCGGAACTAATGATGTTCACGCTCGAAGTCCTAAAAGTGAAAAGGGTGACTCCTGTTCAGGGCCCCAACGTGAGACTTACCGGGAAAGGTTGGTTTTCTGAGATTTCCTTTGCGAATGTTCCTTTTCCTTTTTGAATGAGTGGCTTTCTTTGTTTTTTTTTTCATTTATTTCTTTTATTCCTACTTTTTTTCCTTTTTAGATGAAAGACTTTTTTGTTTCTTTTTATTCCTCCTTTCCTTTTTGAATAAGTGGCTTTTTTTTAATTCTTTTTATTCCTGAGCTTGCTTGGTCTCAGAGCGGGGGTGTGAAATACTTCTTTTCGTTTTTCATATAGTCCATATAGTCCATGTCGCACGGCAAAAAGGGGTGTTCGGAGTAAGCCTGACGGCTTGCTTATTCTCCTGCGACGCGCGCTCGCAGGGTTACCACTTCTAGCGAACGTCCCCTTTTTGTTCTCAAATACACCCATATCCCAACGGTGGGGGAGGCGTGGCTGCGCACTTCATCCGAACGTGGCGGCTGAAGGCTTGTGAAGTATAGTTTGTAAGTACGCCGTTGTCCAGCTCAGCACGATTACGTGACATCTTTACGAAACCCTGTGGCGCAGACGATAGAGAACAGCTGCTAACCGAAGCATCTGGTACGTGCAAAAGCCATCAGGACGAGCCAGGTGACCGAGGTTGGCAAAAGGGAAAGGGTACTCCGGGTGGTGAGCGACGCACTTATAATCGTGTGAAATGGCCTGAATGTGTGAGAGTCACAACGGCCATAGAGTGCATGCGAGAGAGAGTCTGCAGAAGAAAAAGAGCAAGAATCGCCGCCGTCAAAGGGATTGAGTGTTTAGATTGTCCGCAGACCGCTCAGCACATGAGGACAATTGTCTTAAACGGGAACATTCCACAAAAGAATGCATCTTTTGCCTCTCTGTCGTGTTTATATGAGGTGCACATCCATGCCTTCCTCGTCTCCGGGATATAGAGTATGATGTATGCCACTTTCAGGCGGCTTTCCCTGTGTAGGCATTGTTCGGCTTGAAGGGGAGTGGGGTCATTTTGCACTTTCCTTAGTTCATTTTGTTAGTTCATGTCAATTCGACGGAAACTGCGAAATGATAAATGATACAAGTGAGCAGTTTTGGCCACAATAACTCACCGTCTTCACAAAGGTACAAGTTTGGCTGAGTGTTACTTGCTGCTCAACTCACAAGTTAGGTCTTGACAGATTCTAAGCCATCATTGACCACATTATTTACGGCTTCGGGAGTGCACTCTGCAACCCTTATAGAGGCTCCAAAGAACTGCGGCTTATAGCTCGCAAACTAGAGTAATATATCCTATTCCATTTTTTACCAAAATCTTTGCCGTTGTTTAGCATTGCACCTTCCCCAGTGGAACGAAATCCGAGAACCCGTGTTCACAGTTCCACGCAGACATTAGCAGATGTTAACGACAATGCTGATTCGGCTCATCACTTTTCAAAACGTCCGAGGAGAACCGAATCAAACAGGTATGAAATTCACCACTTAATTTTTAGTTAACTGTGGTGAGCGGCGGGATCCCAGTCAGAACTATTCATACAGTGGTATTCTCGAGAGCCCGCGATTTCGGAGAACTCCGCCCACTTCGTTTTCAGAGAACTCGTACTCTTCCCATTGAAGTTGCTTCGCGTATGCTCCAAAATCGTGGGTTCTGTCTCACTCGTGCAATGAATGCTGTTTCATGAACATATTGTCCCTGAATATGCGATTATAGCGTGGAAGACCACAACGCAAGTGATGAATCCAATTACTTACGGCGGAAGCAACAGTTGGAGCTGAAGCGAATGGAACTTGAGAACGAAAAACTTGAGAAAGAGATTCAACATCTTCTGAATCAAGAGAAAAGAGCCAAGGACTTGCACAGTATCGAGTTGAGGCGAGCGCGGCTTCAGCTGGTAATGATGGGCGCCGATATGCTACAAGAACCACAACGGGATGAGTAAGCGCCTACGTGTCTTCCGCCTTTGATGTATGAGTCATTTATTGTCTTGTTGTGCTCCTCAATTCTTTATTTTGTTGGCCCTTTCTCGAGCGTTCTCTTTCTTACAAAAGCTATGGATTGTGGAGCCGTTGTAAACTCGTGATGGCATCATTTTATATGTTGTGAGCGGTGCTGGTTCCTGGTCCAGTAGCCTCATATAGCCCAGCTTTCACGCATGATAAGTGGCCACTCGTCCCCGGAGTTCCCGCTCCTCGAAAAAGAAAACCCCTTGGATGATAACATGTTTTTTTGCACCTTTCGGCGCCTTCGCAAACGCTGCCCTCTGGCTGTCTGCGCTAAGGATTTCGTAACGGATCATACAGAAAAGTTCAAGCTGTCACAGGGAGGGGGTGGTGGGGCATGAACCGTGGTTTTAAATTTGAGGGCTCTTGCTGGATCGATTTTTATTTCGGAAGCCTTATTTTACAGCATTTGAAGAACTATTTCTTTCCTTCCCTCTATCCTACATCTTAGTTTGTATGATTTAGACCGCTCGTCCCAGGGCACTTGTCAACAGAGAAACCTCTCTGCTTCCCATTTCTTCCTCCTTCCTTCTTTTCTTCCTTCCTTCTCTGATCCCTCCTCCTTTACCTTCCCCCTTCAACTTCTGGACTAGTAGATGCCACGAGAAAATACTCCTGGACCCTCGCAGCGAGAGATCGACGCAATCAGCCGAGGCGTTGTTAAGAGGGGCGGAATGAGCTCGCTCCCGGATCTTTTATACCAGTAGTGATTGGGAATACCGGAAGTTCGAAACCACCGGCGAGCGGCATGTCTCACTGGTACACCCACCCAATCCTCTTCCCTTGAAAATTCCTTGCCCCTGGTTTATCCCTCCCAAGTTCTTTTCGCACTGCTGAAAACCTTGTCAGCCTCTGCCCCTGCCTGTCTGCGCTACAGAGTTTCGCTGTTGTGAACAGGAACACGGAGAAAAGTTCAAGTAGTCACATGAGTCATTCTTGTCCGCTCATCGTCAAGGTCGCGTTCGAAGTCGGTTCGTTACGTCTCGGGCGTCTCTCAGAAAACTTCTCTTCTCTTTCTTTTCTCTTCCTTCTTTTCCCTCCTCATTTCTCTCATCCCTCCTCCTTTACGTTCTCCATTCAACTACTGGACCAGTGCATGCCTCGGGAAAACACCCCTGGGCCCTCGCAGCGAGAGCGCGTCTGGTTAACAAGTGCCCCGTAACCCTGGTGGCGGATTCTGTGGGTGGCGCTGACTAGGAAGTCACCTTCACGTGCTATTGCATCTGCCTAGCGAGAAACGTCATAAGCAACGCTGCTTTCGCCACGGGCCTCCCCCAAGGTAGGACGCTCCTTACCGACAATTGTGAAACCACTTCGTTTTCATCTTGAGATAGGCCTCGGACGTTAACGGTGTTCGGGAGAGGGCCAAGCGCTCCTTGATCTGTTGCGGGGACTGCCGCGCCAGCACTGCTTTTCTAGGCTTGTTTATTGGTCAAGGGAAGTTCGTCAGCAATCAAGTACTAACAACAATTAGAGGTAGTTTGTGAGTGGTACATTTGCAATGGCGCCAAACTAGGTGGGAGTCCCCTCTCACAGTGAACCAAGTACGCCCTCCCCTACCCGCACTTGCACCCCCCCCCCGGATGGGATTCTCCCAACTGCTGTGCCCTCGTTCCATTATCTGGTTTCCTCATGGCGGATAGGGATAAGTGCCGCCATTAATCTACTCCTGGTCGCTGCAGTCTCAGATTTTTGCCAACTTCAAGAAACTGATGCAGCAGCTCCAAAATCTGTTGAGTGACATTTCAGAGTTTGGACGAGACCTCAAAAGAGCAATGTTTTTATTCAGTAATTCTTGGACACCATTGTAAATAAAATTAACCTCATTCGAAGTTTTTGCTGCACTCAATTTGATTTTTTTTTGTGGAACACGTGCCACTACGTGCCAGTGAACCACTGAAATCTTGTTTATATAACCTCGGTCGCGAAGTGTTTATTGTTATTGATCTGTATATGTGTGTGATACTGAACATATCAGTGTGTCATCATTACGAAGTCAGTATTGATTAGAAATTAATGATTCATATGAAAAATAGTCGTACCGGAGTTCTTATCTCCGCCATCTCTAACTGCTGGTCATGTTTTCGTGAGTCATCGCGATTCTGGTGGCTCGTTTCTCAGCTGTGAACCTATTTCCAAGCATTTGTAGACTTACCAATCTCATTTCATCAATGTCTTCATGAATTTTTATCTTTTTTTTCAAGCGCAGTTCCTCGACGGGAGGAAGGCATTTTGCGCTTTTGCTACTTTGACGTGTGGAGCCATTTAGAGAGGTATTTCGTGAGCTTACAGTTGACAGATTACCATGGTGGCTCGACGAGCATGCCCCAGCTTCACAAGGGTTCACAGGTTTCACCAGAGTGAGACTTGTAAACGGAACTAGTGAAGCAGCGAAAGTGCAAAATGCCCCCCCCCCTCACGTCGTCGAACTGAGCTCTTGTTTATTGCTGTTATGGGTGGTATCTATGGAAGGAGAATAAAACTTAAGTGATACCCTTGCTCTTTTGATATCGAACGTTGAAACGGAACAGTATCTTGTCATAATTTTTGCAGATGTTCTCCTGATTTTTGATTTGATTACAATTCTTATTTTGGGCTATACTTAAGGTGGTATCGTGCAGGCTCTGAAGCTCGTCTTTCCGCCTCGGTTGTCAAGGATTACACGCTAAATCATCCTCATCGCATTTATTAGCTCATACCACAACACCCATCTAACAAGTTGATTTTACTAGTCGGTTTTACTAGAGTAATTCGAAATGGAGGCGGCACAGACAAATGCTGATTGGTCGTTTCTGAATAAAAAGCCATTTGGATTCTTGATGTCAATGCAGACGGTGAGTTTTCTGTAATATTTGTTTTTTTTATTTCATCATTTCCATCATCTTTGATCAAACGTTGGGGGCTGAGGCAAGGTCTCATCACGCTAAAAGTATTCGAAAAATTCTTTCAGAAAACGGGCTCAGGGGGAGAGGGCATCTAGAGCGCGTTACCCGGGACCCAGGTAAAATCAGCATTCGAGGGAAAATTTTTCGAGGACAGGTATGATCTGCTTCCCAACCAACCAAGTGTGACCCCCTCCACCCTTCGATGAGATTCCCTCAGTGATGTTGTGCTGTGTTCTCAGTCCTCAATCTTTCAGGTACTTAGTTTGTTTATCGTTTTACTAGTGGCATTTGCGCCTTTCGTCTTCGAAGGTGTAGGATTTGTGAGTGGTTGTGCTTTCACCTTATTTGTTACTTCTGCAATCTATAATTTGTTCCACGTTATGGGATGGAACCGAAAGGTTTGTTGTTTTAAATTTAACTTTTTTTTGGCTTTTTCATCGCTTTGACTCATATTTCTTCGGCGCTATTCCAGTAAGG